TAGATATTTTGAATTGACTCCTCCGTACCAGTATATCACCTAACGAAGCTACTGTATTAGCGAAATATGTCATGTGTTTGAGAATTTTGTGGAAATCTTATCGTTTGTGGAGTTTTTACGTAAATAGATATACCTACACTGGTACGCGTGTTTCCATGACGCGAGTCTGCCGGTTTACTCTTATCCCAGAAAGTGTCTAACTGGCCTATAGGAATTATCGCTCCAAAAATCAAATAATTTCTCACTATTTATATTTCAGCATTCTCCACCATCATAAGTACATGAATTGCATGAACTTTTGACGCATTCGAGTTGTCATTATGATTGTCATTTGGAATTAAATGTCAAACAACTCAAGCAAGTGAGATAGAAACATAGACCCACTTGATTATACCCAAGTACTACGTGTTTTTATGGGCCAAAAATTTGTTATCATGATGAAAAGAACGTGTCTTCATTGGTTAAGATCTGTATCATGATAGAAATCCGAGATAATTAATTCGCTTCTTATAAAATGGGAGTAGGAAAAATTATTTATTCGGAAGAGATGAGTTCAAAAAAAAAAAACTATGCCTTGTTCTATTTATGTAAATCATAATTTTCTACCTACTGGAGCTATTGAACGTTCCAGAATTTGCGGTTAATTAGAAGTCAATATTTATTCGGGGCTGATAATGAAGAGAGAAATTTGACCCATTGTATAGTATTTAAATATTATTGAATTTTTGCACATGGAGGTTCGAAAACATGAGTAACAATACTGTAAAGTTAGTTTTCCTACAAAAAATCCTGATTCATGAAACCCATTTCAATTTCAATAAAAACTCACGGCACTGTCCATAATGATGTTTCTTTTCCTAAAAGCTGATCATATCAATGGTAATTCATTCCAAATTTGGTAAGAATCACACGATTGATAGCTATAATAGCTGAAATATAGAGGGGGGGGGCATTTGAAGTGAGACATGCTGTATATAATTATTCATGTACATATATCAATTCGTCTTCACCCTGTTCTGCTGTTCAACATTTGGCTAACTGAGTCTCCCCATGAATCACAAAAACCTGAACTTCGAAGTAAACACTCGAAACACTCGCGAAGTCTACCGCTACCGCAATTGGTTAAAATAGTTGAAATGTTTATTTCACGAATCCCATTATAGCCGATATTTTCTATATAATACAAAATATCTTCTCTACCCTTGAAAGTCTACTTATGTGAAATTCGCCGCTTCAAAAAAAGTCTATATCGTCGACCGAAATGCGGCTTTTCGCCAGTCAAACGTTTCACCTCGCACCTATGACATCATCTGATGTTTTTAGTTATCATTTCGGAGAGGAGGATTCACGGACATCGTGCTATACTTCCTTACTGGAATGCTAAAATTATCTTATAATTCCCATTCGATAATATAAAATAATGTATGGATATTGTGGACAGTATAAAAGTTCCCAAGGAATAGGATGAAGAAATAGAAATGATAAAAAATTATATAGATAGCTGACGTACAAACGTAAACATGTCCTACTTTTTGAATCACACTGGTAAAATCTCAAAATCGCAAAATAAGCCTGTATTCCAATATTGAAACACAGTTTTCAGCATTCTCCGGTGAGGACGCTAGGAATCGGTGTCGAAATGTTGGAAAACATGGGATCGCGCGCCCCCACTTTTCCCCCTCTAAAAATTGTTTTTTCCTGAAACAAAAAATACTGGGCTCTTCACAAAGGATGAACGGATGTCTCTCTGGGAGCGGATTTTGAGTTTTTGTCCTAGTTTTTTCAAAAAAAAATTCTGAATATACTCTAAAAATGCAATGTTCATGCTTTTTTTGCAGAAAATCGGTGAATTTTTTCAAAATTCTGCTTCCAGAGAAACCTAGATATTTCAATTCTTCATCTCACCATATTTTTTGTTTTCCGAAAAAATCAATATTGAACAATGAAAAGTGGGGGCGGTGAAATCATGTTTTCATTGCACTGATGCATGGTGTATCCTCCTCTTAACGACAAATACAAATAAAACTGTGACTTGCGCAGTCGCGATTCTGTCAGAAGTCAGACAAACAATTCCTTCCTCTTCTTTTGCCAAAATGTGGTTGAAAATTCTGAAAATTCTAGTCTTATGTTCAAATTAGACTTTGAAAACAATATGAATGATTGATTCTTATTGTAATTATGTGATCACTAGATGTTATAACACAAATATTTTCATCGGGCTATATACGCTGAGGACTATGTTTTGACCAAGAAGAAGAGTTCAAAATTAAAAAGTGGTGGTGCATAAAGGTATGATAGTCCTTAAAGAAAAATAAACTTCATGACGCTTTCGAAAAATAAACAGTCCGAAACCATCAGGAGCATGCGCAGTTTCACAGAACTGTTGGCATATTTCATGTTCCGTGGAACTGCGCATATTTGTGATGGTTTCGGACTGTCTATATTTCGAACGAGAACAAACCTAATTCATGCAATAGATTTATTGCATGAAACATTTCAAACTTGATATATGTATTATTTTACCTGCTTTATTCTGCACTAGAACCGAATTACCGTCAATGATATAAGCATTATTTCCGTCAGTGATCATATCATAATTATTATCTGGCCTGTTGGACTGCATGCTTCAGCCTTAAAGTTGTAACAATATGTGTTTATTGGATTTTATCACCTATATCAAGGAATTTTGGAAACAAATTAATTATTTTTATCAAAGGATTCAACCTGTGGACTGAAACTCCAAAGCTGAAAGCATGTCAAAATGAAAATATAACCTCACAATTTTCAGCACAAACCACAGAATTACTAGAATTAATCCAGTCTCACCTTTTTCTCACTACAGCACCAGATGAATAGCAAGCTCAATCGCTAATAGGGATTCTGGACTTTTCAGCCTCTGGACTGCATGCTTCAGCCTTAAAGTTGTAACAATATGTGTTTATTGGATTTTATCACCTATATCAAGGAATTTTGGAAACAAATTAATTATTTTTATCAAAGGATTCAACCTGTGGACTGAAACTCCAAAGCTGAAAGCATGTCAAAATGAAAATATAACCTCACAATTTTCAGCACAAACCACAGAATTACTAGAATTAATCCAGTCTCACCTTTTTCTCACTACAGCACCAGATGAATAGCAAGCTCAATCGCTAATAGGGATTCTGGACTTTTCAGCCTCTGAATGTGATCTAGTAGTCCTTGGTTTTTTCAAAAAATGGACGCCGCTTGGCTCCAAAATACACCTTTTGCCGCTCCACATTTCAGAAAAAAATTCGTGAAAATCGCTCCATAAATGAGAAAATTATGACGGTTGCCCATCTTTCAAATGGGTCACTCTGTATATATTTTTTCTGTATCCCAGCAGAATACCAAGTTAAACGAATGCTGCGGTATTTGATGCCTATGGGCAGCCGTTCATTGGAGACGTGCTAGTGGCGCCAGCCAATATTACCAATATTGATTTGATATTACAATTCCAATATCAGTGCAATATTGGTTCTGACATATTCCATTAGTTAATCTGAAATGGGTCTCATATTGATGAACTAATATTGGCTAAATAAATGAAAAAACAAATATGGAAACAATTTTCGCAGCATATCATGCAATATTCAATAATCATCTCAAACATAATATAGAGGAAATATTATTTTGATGATATTGATTCGGTATTGAAATCAATTCAAAAATCATAGATGTGATATCATTTTCATTATATCCAATTGATATTGGATATATTGAAGATCCAATATCAGTGCAATATTGCTGGACAATATACTGTTATATACCGGGTGTTTCTCAAAAGTGGCTCACCCCTATAAGTTTTTTGTTTATACGGATAAACAATTGAAATTTGGTGTGTAAGTGAAGTACATAAATATGCATTATTCGACGTATTCAGTTGTTTTCTGTCACTTCCGGTTTGACCGGAAATGACCCATATTTTCTTATTTCGCATATGGGACACCCGGTAAATTTTCACTTATTTCGAAAGAGAATAACCTTGTGAGTACACTGAAATCCCATTTGCCACTTTTTGACATTCATCATCCTGAAATTTTCATTTTTCGATGTTCAATCTAGTGGCAGAATGAGTTAAAACATCGGTTCTGGAATTATGTTGCCTAGGAAAAATAGTTTCGATGAAGCTTTACTTTTCATTTTTTTCACAGGTTCATTCAACATTTACAATATCGTAATTATGACGCCGACTAAATTTTTTCAAATAGAACAAGGATGGCTTATTTCCATATCTGAAAAGGGTATTTTGTTACGAACACGTTGATACCACACATCGAAATTTTAAATCAATATCCAGTATTATAATCACTCTAAATTGAAAATTGAAAAATAAAAATTTCATCAGGATGTTAAATATCAACAAGTGGCAGATGAGGTGTCGTTATACCTCGCATTGTACTAACAATGTTATTCTCTATCGAAATAGGTAAAAATATACAAGGTGTCTCATTTGAAATAAGAAATAATGGGCCATTTCCGGTCAAACAACTAATGCATATTTATGGGCTTTACTCACATACAGAATTTCATTTGTTATTTCATAGAAACAAAAAATTTATAGGGGTGAGCTCTTTTTGAGAAACAGCCGAATACTAACCATGAAAAATCTGATCATTGAAATACAATATCAGCCCATCAGGAAAACTGACATATTGTAATCGTTAATATTGCGCCATTATCAAATAGATATTGGCAAATAAATATCGGCTGGTCACAACATTTTAATGTTATCACAACATTGGCACTGGATTGATTATTGAATATCGAACTCAAAAATTGGTTTGATATTGGGATAATCTATAGTAATTCCATATTCAATATTCGAATATTTGGCTTTGGTGAAACCAAGTGCTAGCAAATATGATGCTCTACCTGGGAACATTCGAATCGGACAAGAACAACACATTCTGCTCGAATTCGAACGAAATTTACAATTTCCATTCTAAACATAAATCACAAGTGATTTACTTTTTCAGGTTAGATTTGCGGAAGAAGATAAACTTTGTGAACTTCATCCAATGATACACTGGTCATATGCTTACCAATCAGCAAGAAAAGGGCCATGGGAACAATATGCGAGAGATAGAGATAGATTCAATAAACGAATCATCGAAACAGAAAATATCCTATCCCCGATTCTGAATTTGAATCATAGAAAAAAAGTTTACAAACAACGTTATGAGGGTAAAGATAAATTGATGTGTTGAGGAACAGTGTATAAAGTGTAGACATGTAAATATCAACTATTTTGATTTTGAAATGGTGCTATAAATTAATATTGATCACACAAAGTAATATAAGAGAAATACGCGATATTCTGTTTTTCAGAATGTCTATCACATTTTCAGGTAAAATATACTGATTGATATAGAATCTGTAATATTATTTGTACATAAAAATCATAAAATCGTGAAAGGTAGGCATCTATTCTGAGTTGTTCAACCTAGAGAGAGACTAACGAAATAACTATTTGAGATTCCAAAGTTACGTTTTAAAAACAATTTATTTGAATATATGGGTGAAGACAATAAGGTATTGAGATGTTGATCCTATGAATATTAAAGTCTAGCAGAAACTGCAAGACACAGCATCGGCGACACAGCATTTTCCGTTGTGAATCTTAGGGGTTGGGGATGTAATTTCTCCCCTCGAAGATTCAGCTTCAGAGGGTTGGTGAGTTAGCTGAACGTCTTGGTGGTTGACTGCAGGTGGTGATTGTCTTCGAAACTTTGGCAGCAGTTTCTTGTAATTGTCTAACAGCTGACAACACATTTCATTGTCTGATTAATAGATCGATATCTCCTACCGTATTGTACTGCCGTAAAATAATTGAAAACTGATCGGGATGTCTGGCAGATTTTCAGTGGTGCAGGCGGCTGTGGTATGGCCGTAGAGGGATGCAAAAAAATCAATGCATCGTACTATAGCCCAGTCACCTTAGAAAAAATAGCGGGAATCGGAGCCAAAGTTTTGAAAATTGGTGTACGTGTTCCTTTTAGCATTAAATCTTACCAAAAAAAAGTCACCACCCATACCTGTAGAGCTTGCGCCGCCATCTTGGAAAATAGGTGCAAAATTTCAGTTTTTCACGTATATCTCGGTAACTGTCAACTTTATCGCAATAAAGATGGAGAGGTAAAAGGAAGCTAACAAAATTCATCGTAAAAAAGTATTCATTGATTATTTCCGAAATATGCACGGTTTTGGACTTATGTCGCCACAACGATTTGTCAAAATATAAAATTCTACTGCAAACCGACTGGACAAACTATAATTTAGTTGTATACGCTCATTGTGACCTGCAGAAAAGCTGCTTAGATCTCATAATCAAGAGTTCCAGGATGGTCAGAGTTGCCCCAATTGTCAGCAGGAGCAAGACAGTCTGTTTCGACCCACCAGGCCTCAAAAGCTCAAAAGCCGCTCTCGGTCTGCTGACAACTGGGACAACTCTACGCTTCGGGTATATCCCATTTCGAAGACGCAGGGTATAACATGGAGAATAAGGCATGTATTTTTCGTTATTTGAAAATACAACCATCGGGTCGGGTTCGTCCGGAACTTCGTATTCATTACTTAGAAGAGATGAAACGGAAAAATCGTCCTTCACCTCGGATTCCAGCGTTTCGGCGTTGTCCTGACAGTATTGTGCGTTGAGGCACGATGCTGCAAGGCAATATTCGCAACTGATCGAGCGTTTGAGACCCGCTTTTCTGCATCCGCAGGCTGCCGTGCATCCTTTCTTGCAATCGCTAGAAATTATCTGGAGCAAAGAATCTGGAGCAGCAGGTAGGGTAGTTGGCACAGGTACCAGACCAACAGCACTCCTCTTCCACCTCCAAACCTCAGGACATTTTTTATTGCCCAACGACTCTTGTACCTGATGATTGACTCTGAAGGAGTGCTGCCTCAAAGCTGCTTCCGTCGGTGGCAGAGAAGCCAGATCTACTTTTTTTTGTAGCAGATTTGGCGAACAGATTGTACCGTAGCTTGTTCAATGATGTTTCCGTTTTATGGGCACCATACAGAGCTAGAAAGAATCTTTCACATGTAGCAGATACTTCTTCACTCTTAGCTTCCGGGTTGTTGAAAGCCTTCGCAACTTCTCGTAATGATGGTCGGTCCTTCATGAGTTTGAAGCATTTCAACTTTCCTTTTTTAAAGAAACTTGATGTGGTATCACAACCCCCAAAGGTATGTAAGAAAAGGATATTGCTCTGTTATTTAATATTGGTTTGTAGTTCGCGGGAACAGTACCTTTTTGCCTTTATACATTGCCTTTTTTTGGTTTCACAAAATAAATGTTGCGTTCTGCTGGAGCCAAAGCTATGAGTAGAATAAGTAGATCTACATCTTCTCCAACAACGGTGACTTGGGTAGAGGAAGACATTTCAATAGCTGTCTGTATTGTTAGCGAATCCGCATCGTCCACTCTGCTTGCTTTGTGATGAACCCTTCATTTTTTCTGATAATATAGCAATCAATCGCTTCTTGTTCTTCGGGTTAGCTAGTAATTTTTCTTGTGCGACAGTGACCGGCATGTTTTCATCAAACAAAACATATGTCTGCACATGTATTTTTAAGAGCACGTCTATGCTGTTCAGCCTTTTTAGTTCTATCAGCATCATCAGAGTACCCGTCGAAAACAATCACCGAATCAGAGCCGTAGTGTTTCCTGACGTAGGCAATGTAACTGAAGCAGATTGACAAGAACGTTTGATTTTACTGCCAAATCATACGATATAAAAGAAAAAAAACATTGATATGTGGCAACACTGGTATTCTGTAATGGCCGATCGCTGTTGCGAGGATCCTTGAATATGGCGCCGACTCTCTGACAGTTACTTGTAGTTGGAATATATGTATATCAGAATAATTATAAGTAAGTTTCTCAAATATCGCATATTGTTTTACGATTTACTGATAAACCATGCACTAAACGAGTATTTATGTAGAAAACTTTTTTTTTCTAAATTTAATTTCCTTCATTTTACCTCAGCATATTGATATCGATAAAGTTAACAGATACTGAGATATAACCGAATAACTGAAAAAGTGCACACATTTTTCAAGATGGCGGAGTTAGCTCTACAGGTACAGGTGGTGACTTTTTTTTGGTTGAAAGTCATGCCAAAGGGAACATGTACACCAATTTTCAAAACTTTGGGTTCGATTCCCGCTATTTGTCAAATTTGATACTAAGGTGATTGGGCTACTATTAATAAAGCTCTGAATTTTCGTGGGGTGGTAGCCGATTATAGTTGGTTTTCAACAAAAATTGCTAGACACCTTGAGTGGTGGAATCATACCTCCAGACAGCGTTATTGTGGATTAATTTCGAGACCATATCATATTTTGATATTATTGCGTAGAACCAGGTCAGACATTGTAGGTTTTGTTAAGAGTGACATAAGGAATATAAAATCGTATTTCACGACATATTTTAGTGGTCTGGGACTTTTTGAACTAGAAAAAACACCATCATACCTTTAGGATTCATGAAGTTATCGAAGTGCTTTTTTTGTAGATCAAAGGTATCAAAGGCAACAAAGTAGCGCTTTCAACAGTGCGATTGGATTGTGCAAAATTGAAATGTGCCATTTTGATTTTCTAAAAATCAAGGAAGCTTATAATTCAAATCAAATGTATTACTATTGGCACCAATCGGTAAACTTTTTTATTTTTGGAAATTTGTATATATGATGAAAGTTTTTGAATTAATTAGTTTTCTCCTATTTTGTATAGTTTGGCAACCGTGATTTTTTCATAGTTCGCGTTTCAAGTTTTCTGAGACAATGAATTGTATTATCTGTGAGAACAGTATACATGCTGTGTGTCTGTAAAGTATGAAATAAATTCGATATTTCCTATGTATACACTGAAAGCCTCCTCAAAAAAATCGTTGACACGTCGATTTTTGATTCTATTCTACATATCACAACGTAATTTCATTACACAGATACATCATATTAAAGTGATGACGCCATCGACAATATTCCATTTAACATTTTTAGATCAATAAAAATTATCTGATTCCAAAACGGTATGATACATGGGGTCTATAGCAGACAGGATTTGGAAGATATGCACTTGGAAAATAAATTATTTCAATCAATTGCAAAAAGTAGCCTACTATAGATTTTAGTGAAATCTCATTATTCTTATTGACGTTCAGTAGCTAACAGTTAAGTAGTATAATATTGTTGAATTAGTTGGTGAATGTTTTGTATTACTTATATTGCTTAGAATTAATTGAAGTAGAAATGGACTCAAGTGTCGAGCAAAGAATTAAATTACTTATTTAGGGTATGTGACAGATTGATAAGACTTGAAGTTCAAATTTTCAGCACAAATTTGAGAATTTTTGAATTGATAATCATACATTCTAGGAAATGCGAAAACTGGGGGGCCTGTGTCGATTTCCATTTCAAGGGGAATACCATCAACTATCACATCTAATTTAAGTGTTTTAAGATGTATTTCTCTCAAATTTCTAAAACTCTCAAACTGAGTATCGACATCGCTCTGTTTGGACTCTGAATCTGAACCTACTTCTACATATTTATTTCATCTAATTTTCTGTCTTTCAGTACTGCTTTTTGACAAATACTACTAACGTACGCCTTGTGCGTTCGCACAAATGGCACTGTGTATTCTTGAAATAACAATTATTGTTGAGCACTTCTTTGAGTATCCTCCAGCTGCATTTTATTTATGGAGGACACTGCTTCCACCAATCCTGCAGTTTTCTCTGCTGCCTTCATGCTAATAGATAACTCATAGGCTGTTCACGCCGCGCATAAATTATATACAGTGTGTCCATTTTGTGCGTAATTATTCGATATCTCGAAATCCATTATCACTAGAGAAAAACTTTTGGGAACAAATTTCTTCCGTTATTGAAGGTTCCCATTTCAAAAATATTTTCAACAATACCGGGTGTTTTATAAAAGCGGGATGACTCGGAGACGAGTTTATTTGAATACCTAGAACACCCAGTATTTTTTATTCTACATCGCTGTAAAGAAATTGTATTCGGTTGCGGCGTTGCCAAGTTATAAATGATAAACCCATTTTTACCACTATTGATGGCTCATATTCAATTTGGGTATGGTATATTCATTTATTCAAATTTTGAAAATATCATTGGCTTACAGTAGTAGCAAGATCTCACGTACACCAATCGAGTAATTTTGCGAGATGATCCTTCACAGGGTGCTAAATTTTACATTTTGAATATTGTAAGATTCAGACGACGTTCATTAGAATTTTTCAAAAGGAACACACTGTATTTTTCATCACAGATTTATTTCGACATCATTCGCCTTTTCATCGCTGAAAAAAAAATCAAAATTGGTTGCGGCGTTTTCAAGTTATGAGTAATTTCCTTATGTTTATC